GTTAAATACTTATAAACCCGGAGCAACCCTACAGGGGTACGGGAAGGTGGTGATCCTGAGTGGCCCACTAATTTATGTAATTTTGTTTCACTAGAAATGAGTGACGAGAGCGATAAATCGACTTCCAAAGATGAAGAGTTCGATAGAATTAGAGAGAAATTGGCAGCCCAAGAGGCACAAATAAAACAACTATTAGGACAATCCGGAAGTAGAAAAACTTACTTTCCTGACCAATGTTCAACTACCCTCAGTGATGAAGATGACGAAGATCATCATGATCAGAATAAAGAGTCCGATATGTTTGTTGAGCAGTTCAACAATGAAAGTGACACATCAGCAGGTTGGTTATGGTAGATACAATGTCATATATTGTAAGTGTCTTTAACTCAGCGTTATCTGTTAGATATTAATGAGGAAAACGACTTGAATGAACTTTTAAAGGATGTCGAAGGCACCATTGAATACGGACCGGAAGTAAAGTCTCAAATAGCAGAGGGATTTGTTAAAACAGCCATGCGGCCTCTTTCGAAAGACTCTTCTTTAAATATGAAAGAAAAGCTAAAGATTCCATCCAACTGCAAGCAGTTCCAGGTCCCAAAAATTAATGCCGAGATTTGGAATCATTTACCGACTCCGTCCAAAATGGCAGATATAAAATATCAGCAAATCCAACAAAGTTTGACTCAAGGACTGGTTGGGCTCACAAGAATTGCTCATGAGGTTGTAAGCAATGATGTACCAAATGCAACCAGGACTAGCATTTTGAAAATTGCTATCGACACAGCAAACCTCCTAGGAGACCAATTACAGAATATCAGTGCTAGGCGAAAGTCAGATGTAAAAAGGTTTATTAATCCCGAATACAGTGCAATTTGCTCGACACAGGTACACACATATTTTTATATTTAGTAGACAATTGGCATTTCCGTCTAGAAGTTTGAATTATTCCCTTACATTTGAATGAAGGTATCGGGTACTGAGTTTCTTTTTGGCAATGACCTCAATGAGGCTCTGAAGGCATCAAAAGCTGTCTCTAATGTGGTATGAAAATCAATGCCGACTCATCAAAACCGATACAAGCCCTATAATTACGCCAGAACACCACAACAATCTTTAAACTTCCGTCGCCCATTCTCTCAGCCGTATCCTCGCCGAGGGAATCCAGGGGCATATCGAGGGGGAAGATTCCAACAACGCTCAAGTCAGCAGTATCAACAATATCCCCGATATCAGAAGTAGAACCAGAACCCAGTAAAAATAAGGCAGGTCATTTAAAATTCTATGTTAGAGAGTGGGAGAAAATCACGAATGACAAATTTATTTTAAATACTATTAAAGGATATAATTTAGAATTTACTACATTGCCCAAACAAGACTCCGAGCCAGTTTTTCCAAAAATGTCAGAGATAGAAACTAATTACATTGATAGCTCAATTAAAGATTTGTTAGTTAAGGGAGCAATTAAAATATCGGCAGAGGAAGAAGGTCAGTATTTATCTACGGTTTTCACGGTTCCAAAACCAGACGGTAGTCGTAGATTTGTAATTAATTTAAAGAAATTAAATAGATTTATTCAGGCTCCTCATTTTAAAATGGAGGATATTAGAAGTGCCACTACGTTGATTAGAAAAAATAATTATATGGCTATTATTGATCAAAAAGATGCGTATTACATTATACCCATTCATGCTAATTCACAAAAGTATCTTAAATTTAGATGGAAAGGAACTCTCTATCATTATACATGTGCACCGTTTGGATTGTCTGTAATTCCCTGGTTATATACAAAAATTATGAAACCAGTCATGGGACATATTCGAGCAAAATTATTTACTAACGTTTCTTATTTAGATGATTGTCTCTTAATAGGTGATACGTTTGATGAATGCAAAGTAAATGTCCAAACCACTATGTCTCTTTATAAAAAATTACGATTGGATATTAACACTGAAAAGTCAGAGCTGGAACCTAAGAGAACTGTTAAATTTCTAGGTTTTTTACTTAATTCTGAAACAATGCAAATTTCGTTGCCAGATTCCAAAGTTAAAAAAGTGATAGAGAAGGCAGGCCATATTGTTAACCGACAGTTGGTTTCAATTCAAGATGTAGCAGAATTAGTTGGTCTCTTTATCTCCGCGTGTCCAGCCGTGCAGTACGGTCAATTATATACTCGTCAGTTAGAATTTGAGAAAACAGTCGCCCTCAGACAGTTTGGCCACTATAATGGAAATATTGAGTTATCGAATGAGGCAAAAAATGATATTTCGTGGTGGATAAAAAACGTGCCAGCTGCATCGAGACCAATTGGAAATATGAATTATAAACTAGTTATTACAACTGATGGGTTATTAACTGGCTGGGGAGCCGCGTGTAATGGAAAATCTGCAAAAGGGGCATGGTCCTTTTTAGAAAAACGGAAGCATGTTTTGGATTGGTATCAGTGGTCACATAAAGAAAAGGAGAGACATATTAATGAGCTAGAAATTTTGGCATTATTTTATGGATTAAAATCACTAGCTGACGTTAGAAATTCCAACATATTATGTAGGATGGATAACACCACAGCAATCTCATACATAAACAAGTTTGGTGGCTGCAGAGCATCTGATATACATACAATAGCGAAACAAATTTGGCAATGGTGTGAAGAAAGAAATATTGTACTTTTTGCATCATACATTAATACAAAATCGAATGTAATCGCAGATAGTTTATCTCGTGAAAAAACTGACTCGTTTGATTTTATGTTAGGTGACATATACTTTCAAAAAATTTGCAATAGCTTTCGCACACCCGAAATAGATTTATTTGCTTCGTACCAAACTCGAAGGTGTAAGAAATATGTATCCTGGTTTCCTAACCCCGAATGTGAATGGGTAGATCCCTTCACAAAGCCATGGGAAACATACTTTTATGCGTTTCCGCCTTTCAAGCTTTTAACAAGAGTATTGCAAAAAATTTGCGATGAAGGTTCAAAAGGTGTTGTGGCTGCACCAAATTGGCCTACTCAGCCATGGTATCCTTTGTATTTAAAACTAGTAAACTCAAATAAGATACTATTTTTTGAACCTGATAATGATCTCCTATTTTGTCCTTACTCATACAGGCCTCACAAGTTAAGTCGTACAGTAACATTGATGGCCGCAGAATTATCCAGCAATCCTTCACTCGTCTAAATTTGGAGCCCGAAGCTATCGTAGTAATTAAAAACTCTTGTTCAAAGAACACGTGGAAGCAATATGAGTCTTCTCTACAAAGATACTTCCTTTTTTGCAAAGAGAAAAATCTGAATGTTTGGGATTACAACATTTCAAATTATTTAGCATTTTTATCCAAGTTATATGATTCAGGTCTAGGTTATAATTCAATCAATACAGCAAGATCAGCTTTATCTACAGTGTTTGGTTTAGTACATGACAAGGAAATTGGTGATAATAAACTTGTCGTAAGGTTTATGAAGGGAATATATAAAATACAGCCTCCCTCCTCTAAATATTCAATTACATGGGATTCAAATTTAGTATTAAATTTATTAGAATCATGGGATCCAGAAATTATTACATTAAAGCAATTGTCATTTAAACTAGCGTCAATTCTAGCCTTAACCACAGCTCAACGAGTGCAGACTTTGAGGTCAATTAAAATTAGTAATATTATTTGGGGGGACAATGTCCAAATTAAATTGGACGCAATATTGAAAACAACAAAAATAACTAATCTAAATCCAGTGCTAATTCTTCCAACATTTAGCAACAAAAATTTGTGTCCCGTTGAAACATTAAAATTGTATATTTTAAAAACAGCATTGTTACGTAATAATTGTGATTATCTATTTATATCTTTTCTAAAACCGTATGCAGTTGTAACAAGTCAAACACTTAGTCGATGGTTATGTAATGTATTAAAACTAGCTAATGTAGATATTTCCACGTTTTCGGGTCATAGCTTCAGACATGCAGCCACTTCCAAAGCTTTTGTCAAAGGAATTAATACAGATACAATTTTCCAGCGTGTGGGCTGGAGTGGTAGGTCAAAAATGTTTGCAAAATTTTACAATAGGCCGATAGACAATAGAGATAGTTTCGCAAAAGCGATATTAGATCAATCTAGTTAACTTATTTGTTATAATTGATTGGCAATAAACTCATGTAATTTATTACGTAATTAACTAGTTATTTTACTGAGCTGTACTCATCTCCATATTTGCTTTGAACAACTACAGTGATGTTGAATGGAGAGAAGATGAGATATAATTGGAGATTTTGCGAGGGTGACCGAAGGTCACCTGAAGCAAAATCATAATTATTTGAGTCTTCTTGAAATGAAGACATCACTGCCCTCCAACCCACCCCCTTGTCTTTATGTAAAATATGGTGATTCGTATTACTTTAAAACAATGATGGATGGATGGTGGTGGTGGTGGGAGCAAGGATTATTTTCTTGAGCATGCGCTTTAAATCATAGGGAACGTCGCTCCACATTGGCTATGGGATCAACTACTACAGTGATGTCTTCATTTCAAGAAGACTCAAATAATTATGATTTTGCTTCAGGTGACCTTCGGTCACCCTCGCAAAATCTCCAATTATTTTTCAGGTCCAAGTGGTAATTTACTTTAGGATGAATATTTACATAATACATACATAATCTACCACCAATTATTTGTATTTCCTCGTTGGTACATCACATACTCGTGTGAACAGGATTTGCATAAAGTAGCTTTTCAAAGTGGAAGATTTTTGCAAACGGTATTTTATAGGAAATCATTGAAATCCTGGGTATCGCATGAAAAAAATACGGCATGAATTAAATGCAGTTTAACTTTGTGCATAGCCCTTTTTGAAAGAAATGCGAGAAATTTAGCAATCCGGAGAAGGTATACATAGGTTGTCTTGCAAAAAGCTGGTTTTGAATGAAAAAAATAAAATAGCATGACCCCTGTAATGAGTCATTACTAATGACTCTCGTCCTAAGCTAAATAAGTAAGTTGTATAAATGAATAAAGGCAATAATTTTTATTCACGATTTCCTTCAAAGTTATACCACATAGGACAATCCGATTCTATTGCACTACGTAAAACTTCCTCAATTAGTTACCACCTTTAAAAAAGGGATTTCAACCCCTTCTTGTAATCATACCCGTAGCCCAGATCAATCCTGGCGTTTGCTTCGCGAACTAATTTGATCGCAGTGTCCATCTCCTTCCTTAGTTTGGTCAAATTCTCCAGCATTTTGGCAAGCAAATCGTCCTTCTCATGTGACGTGTTGGACGACCACCAATAATTGTAGACGTTAACCCCAATAGCCCCACCGACAATTACTGCACCCGCGATGGGATTGATAGCTGTAATTGTCACGTATCCAAAATAATTCGCCGCCCCGACAGCTCCCAAGCCAACGACTGTCGCGACACCGACCCCTTTATCCTTTTCGTCATGGACGGCCTCCCTAGTCTTTTTAATGTCTTTGGTTAATTCATCTGTAAACACAAACAATAAAATTGGAGAAGAAAACAACTTTCTTTAATTTTCACAAATCTGTCCAAATTTATACAGGGTGATCCATAAATGGCTTGACAAATGAGTTTAAATTGCTGTCCATTAACTAATTGCTCAGCAGAAAATTTGTCTTCTCCAAAAATTCCATAAAAAATCTCCCTTGTACAAAAAAATTTCATGGACACGATGTTCATACATACCAATTTGTTTCTCCAAAACGTCATATCGTTTCCTCAACTCGGCCCCAGCGTCTGTTAAAATTCTCCTGATACCACTCTGCTCGTCATCCTCAAAGTTGGCGGCCTTTTTTAAGTTGCTAAAACGATCTTGAAACTCGGCCACCTTATCTACATAGGTTTCCGCGTCTTTAATGAATATTTGAATTTCCTCTTCCAGTTCCAAATACCGTTCTTGGACCTGACTAATTTCCCCGTGAAGTTGATAAATGTTCCAAAGTCTGTATCCTCCATTTACCAAGTGATACGCGGAGTATCCTAGACAAGCGTTCCCTACTTGAGCAGAAGCATATTTCAAGAACATTTTTAATACCGTGGTGACAGCTTCGTATCCAAATTTCGTCACATATTGCCCCGCATTAGTTCCCACCTCCGCTAATTTTTCAAATCCTATAAAAAACAGCAGTATAATAAATAATTCAGTATTTTCAAATTTCCATTTTAATCTTCGGTATCATCATTTTTCCAAAAGCTACTCATTGAAAATTTAAAACACAAATTACCCGATTTTACACTAGTTTCCTTGAAATATTGATGTTTCACCAATGACTCCAATCCATTCAGCGCGAGGTCGGCGTCTCCCTTGGAAAACTGGTTGATCAAGATGTCCCCCGAATTAAAGAAAGATTGCGTCTTAGTGATCAAGTCGAGCGAATCCGATGCACCAAAATCCTTCTGGAGAAGCTGTAGGGATTAAATTACATAAAAATCTTGTCCCACACCGTTAAAATAAGGTTTTCTATGTTGCTACACCGGACTAAAATGAAAATTAATAATTTGAAATCTTTTGGTTGTTGACCTCGCCCAAATGAGGGTCATACTTTATACCAAAATTTACACGGACGAATTACAGATAATCATGACTTCTACACTCTACACCTATATCGCATTATGGTGCGATAATCTCCTAACATTCCGTAATTTATAAAATTCCCTAAAATCTTCCCTAAAATATACCTATTTTCCTATCTATTAAATTTAGAAATAAGGTTTTCCCAAACTTATTTTTTCAAAAATTTCCCTAAACCCCCTCGAGAACATGTAAACAGCAACTTTATTTTCATTCGATGCTTCATTCCAAAATTCCAAACTTTTTTAAAAAGATAAAATCTTATCCTTTCCTCCATTATCTTGGACTTTGAGTAAAAATTTATTCTGTATATACGAACAAAAATTATTAGGTTAAAATATCTTCCACCACAGGAAACAATAAATTTAATTGATGAGTTACTGCTGTAGCTAACGTAAAAATTTGCCCTTACCTTTGCAAGGGTCACAACCTTCAATCCATAAATTTGTTCAGCCGTGTGTCCCAAACAGATTGAAGATCCAAGTAAAATCAAGCATACACCGTAAAACTTTACCATCTTGGCTTATAGTTATGTATATTTAATTGCTCATAAATTCACGGATTTTCTTTTTCTCACTCCCTACCCGAAATCGGGAAAGATATGCAAATATTCCACGAAAAAATATTTACCTGCACCTTGTATACGGCACGGACAGACCTAGGTTAATTACACAACGTGACGGGTAGTCAGCAAATTACAGGGCAGGACAAGACGTAAATTTGATACCCGGTTAACGTACCAGTAAATTAGGATGATAATAAGTCACAAATTTACACTAAAAAATTAACACGCCTTTGACTACCTCGAATTTTTTGTAGATTGCGCAAAATATTTTGCACATATAGAATGCTGAAGTTTTTCCACAAGCGTATTACACACGACTGATCCTGTTCGCAATAAAATGACATCATCATCAGCAGACCAGTTCCCACTTGATCCCACAAAGTAGAGTGCTGCGGAGCCACCTCCCAGGGACATGGGTTTCCACAAGAGAGATTCACAAATTTCACTCCCATCTTATAAAATGCAACACCTACTTATCTCTCTTGTGTACAATGCATTGCACCCAATTGTCCTCACAGGTTGCGCGGGCAATGCAACTACACATGAACATGATGACACAACTACTCATGAGTTTATCTGGATTTCGCTACAACCAGAGCAGAGTGCAACTTTTATATTAAATGTGCCAAACTGTCCATGGGTTCTTGTGGAGATTTATTTCTCCATTAAAACCTCTTTCAGTCATCCCACCGGGAACTTTTACAACAAACGTGACGCAATTTTTTTCTACTCCCTTCACCACCAAGCGTCATGAGATAGGCAGACATACCAGAACTCAGACCCCTCTTGCCTTTCGCAGTTTATGCACGTCCCCAAAAACAGACATCAGATTTATGTATGTAACAAACTGGTCCCCGGATTTTGTAGATAGTTATTCCATTTGTAATTTATTTATGGCATGCCGACCACCAAACACCATGTCTGACTCATCTACTTGTTAAATTCATTCAGTTAACTATCATTTATCTTTATGTAACTGCGATTTATTTATCACCACTTTTTGCATAGTTGTGGTGCGAACACTGACTCAGGTGAACCTTCATAAAATACGTTATGTACTAAACTAAAGCTTTTTTAGGACCCTTCTTCCCATCTGGGACACGTAGGAATTTTAAAATGGAAAAATATCTAGCAGACATTAGACCTCCTTCTTATGGCGTCACTTATTTTATGTAGGTTCCCTTTTAAAACAGATAACGAACTGTTTGTGACATTTTGCAGTCATTTCATAAACGATTTATTCATTAAGTGTGCACCACCAAAAACCATGTCTGACTCATTCAGTTTTACTCACACCTCATGAGAAATTAAGTTATAGATACAGAATTAATCACAAATAATTTTTATTGTCTGGAATTTACATTAATGTATAGTTTGTGCATAAAATTATATTACAGCTACCAAAGAGGACATTATAATAAGGGGGAAATTCCTATACCAAGAATCGCACGAATTTGTAAAAAAATCTGTAATTTCGCAAAATTAATCAAAAAATCGGTCGTAAAATTGAGTAAAAAATTCAATTTTGTAAAATCCTTATTCGCCTTTTTTTACAAGATGTTCATGAAATAGTACTATTATGCATGGTCTTCCTTGATGTCATTGTTTAGCTAAGAATAAAATGACAAAGATTCCATAGAATCTTAATTTATGCCATGTCACTTGTAAAGGTGACCATCATACCTTATAGTCAGAATTCATGACCACCCTGTACATATTTATTAACACTATTCCTGCAAAATTTGACTCATCTGTCCACACACGCAGCTAGCAATGCTCGTTGAATATCTTGCAAATCCTTCCCAGAATTTGATAAACCTTCCAAAATACTATCCACCAATTTATCACGCGCATTCCACATACTCAAGTAAACCCAGATAACAGTCAAAGTAGAAAATACTCCCACAATGTAGCCCACAAAGAAGGAATTGAGTCTCCCAATCTACTCAAGAAGTCGGTGGAGATCGGTCTGTGGTCTCTCGTCCCCACAGAATTCTGTGGAGATGAGAGATGATCGTCTATCGTTTCAACGGAATTCTGGCTGGCATCCGGACTCAGGTTAGAATTTTGCTGGTTCCTGGCTTCCTGGACCCTGCCGACCGCTGGTCTATTCCCTCTCGTAAAAAAATGGGCGCAGACATAAGGCGAACCGAATCCGAGTACGATGACAGCGAAGACTTCTTGCGTCAGGGAATATGTGTCGATGTGCAAAGGCCAGGTGTTTTTAATTTGTAGTAAAATTGCCCAAGTGGAATATGATGATCCCAAATTTCCTAATTCGTTTTCTACAAACAACAAATTAATCGAAGAATCACGATATCCATTAATCTAAACATGTACAGGGCTCATCAAAAGTAAGTATCTCGGCCAATGTTGCTACAGAAATACAGGGTGTGCCAAAAGTACATATTGCTCATACCCGGAATTTAAAAAAATTAGTACAAAGTTTCCGTTCGCAACGTTTTTACAGAACGAGTACTTAACTTCTACAAAATACACTATACACTGTTTCTTTATGGACACCCTGTACATACTTATTATGGTATTTCATATTCTACAAGCAATTTCGCTCCTTCCAAGCACAAAAATCAAATAATTCTGGTTTTGTATGTACTTATATACCTAAATTTTCCGCAATGGGTTTGAATTTGCTGACAATTTCCACCGCTTTTCTAGCCAGGTCAATCCTTACGCGGTCGCCTTTAATAAGATTCCCTTCAAATTGCTCGATTCCCCGTAAAAAGTTATTCATACTAAATTTCACCTTGTTCACTTCGGTCATCTTGGTTTTACTTGATTTCGACTCTTGAACAATCGCCAATCCTTTCACGAGATCATCTCGTGCCGTTGAAAACATGGATGCCACCTCGTGTAGGAAAACTGAACAAATCTTATTGCTAATTTCCACCTTGAATCTCGTTAAATGAGGGGGAATCGTAGATATATCGTTTTCCCTTAAATACGTTTTTGGGTTGGTGAAAATTCTTGCAAAATCTTCGAGTCCTGTGCAAAAAATATAGAAAAACTTATCAAACATTGATTTTCCTAATTTTATAATACTTTACCAAATTCCATGTTAATTCAACGGTGTAAAAATTGACACCACTGGTTTAATTCGTTCTTAATATTGACGTTCATTTTTATAGCAAGTTAACACCACACGGTGTAAAATTTACACCATATTCAACACTGCCACCCTGCTGAGTGTTGAATGTGAATTTTCACCGGAGTTTTTTTTCACAATACATACGATTCGAACAAGTACAAGTACACACACAGCAAAAAAAAACGGTGCAAAATCAACACCATTTGGCTGTACCGTGCTGGACGTAAATTTGACATCATTTGGGGTGAACCAGCGGTAAATACGGGTGAGAAATTTACACCGGATTTTTTGCAATGTATTCTATGAAAAAATAGAATAGTCTTACCTGAGACTTTCATGATTTGCACGGTTAACTCATGTCTGGCTAGGGACAAAAGTCCTGCGATGACAACTTCTTCCTCCCCGCCTTCGTTGCACTGTTGACCTAAAACTTTCAACCCGTTAAAAAATGAGGTCATCTTTTGACCCAACTCGTCCCCATTGTAGGCACCGAATACCCCCAGAACATCCAAGTATTCAAACTAAATATTAAATAAGTTACAACAATATTGTTACAAACTTTTTTTCATTATTTTTTCTTACTATGTAATTATAGACACCGCGGTTATAAAATATGTGGACAATGGTAAGTTATATTCTCCATATGCCAATGATTTCCACGTACTTAATTAATTTTTTGCGAAAAATAACATTTTTTTAAATAATGACTTTTTTGTAAAAAAAATTGGAAATATAACCTCCAAGTTTGACCTTGAAATTTTACAGTTTTCGTGTCCACGTTCTGTATAACTAATAAAAATACAGGACCGAAATTGTACACATATTTTGTAACCACCCTGTACAATCAAAATGCGTAAAAGAACTCTTTCTTACTGGATTCGTGTCTTTTCCTGGATTCCCATCTTTACACACTATCTTCCCCGGAATGAAGTGGAGGGTAAACCAAAATACAAAAATTGCAAACACAATATTCCCCATCTTCACCAGGGCTCACTTTTAAATGAAGAAAAATGAAAAACTTCCTGAAGCCACACTTTCCTCGTACGTATGAAGGACTTGGACGAGAATTGGAGTGCAGTGTAACTCAAGTTTTATTTAACTCGCTTTTAGACCCGGAATGAACGAGTTGCCTGAGCCGACTGACGTTTTATCTATTTATTCACATCAACTTACGCTGATTGCGTATATACATATTTATGAAACGAAATAATCTCGTATAATAGATGTGCATTCATACTGTCACTGAGTCGTAATGTAAAATACGTTATCACATGACTGGTAAACATAGCAGTTCAATAAATTATTTTTATAAAAAACTCTGAGGGGAGGCAGTATGATTAGCGGATAAAAAAGTAGACAAGAATTTTTTAATATTTATGACATCGAGTATTCATGGGATAATTACACTCATCGCAGAAATTATCCATCATTAGTGAAACCATTCGTTGAAATGCATATCGTCGTAATAATTCTAAAAAGTCATATGTCTCATTGATGGTTAATTTTAAAAGTCCTATGTTACAAAAAAAAATATTCTAAAAAGTTCTAGGTATGTTGCTTTGCCTTATTATGTAACATAGGACTTTTTAGAATTCACCATCGTTGCAACATAGGATTATTTAGAATTAGTACGACGATATCTTCTAAACTACTTTAACTTCTGTCAATCAGGTTTTTAAAATTTTCGGCTTCCGAGCAGCGACACGGGTGGGAGGGCGAGATTTGCAGGAAAAGAGTATTTTAATGGACTTCAGTTTTTGATGGGTGATTACGGTAGGAGTTCATCCTGGATACTTTTTGGAATCCACTTTTTCGGAATCTCTATACTTCCGGATTTGTACTGAGCCACTAAAAAACCCTATCGATATCAAAAACCCTGTCCCGAGCAGATAATTTGCTAGAGTACAACACTTAAAATACCTAGAAATTATTTATTTATTTTTCCAACAGGTGCTATTTTTAACAGTCCATATGAACTTTTATCACAGATTGAGATGATTGTAGAGACAAATGTGAATTTTTTGGCGACGTTAAAAATTTCAGCGATTTATTTTCAACATTTTTGTTAATATTGAAAAAAAATCTTTAAAAATAGGAATCCAATGCATACAATATTTCTGGGTTTTGATTTTTTCTAAATCATTGAGTTATATCTTAGGAGAAAATTAAGCAAAGAAATATTTATTTTTCCTATTTATTACAATTTAACAAAATTAACATGGAGAAAGTTCGGCGCGCCGCCGATATATTTTTTCACATTTTTGCAATTGTTCCTTTTCGAAGTTGTCAATAAAATGTGTGAAATTAGATAACTTGGGTGCGTTAAATTACTCCAACGCGACCAATTGGTGAGATTATGTCTGCTGAATATCCACAAGACCATTTTAGATAAATACATTAACTTTTTAACCTGTTGACCAATTTTTATCGGATACAAGTCACAGATGCCATATTTAATTGCGGATTTTTTAAGATACAATTATCATTTGTCCCCAAAATCGACTTTTATTCGATAGACTGTATTCCGACATTGACGGTTATGCAGGAACAACTACAACATTTACTTTTACTTGAATATGAAGTGTTTGAATTGCACGATGAAATAAATTAGACAGAAACCCTCTGATATTTTATAGGATTTGATGTAGACAAAGGTTGTCAATTGAGTTTTACGTATGCACTCTAGGAATCCTATTTCGCCTACTGGGTTAGGCTAACTAATCACCCAAAAAATGGTACATATTCACACAAGTAAAGTTTATACATATGTAAAAGCTGAATCTTTTTCTACCGTCGCACAAACCCCAAATGTTATCTTAACAGTAATATTATCGCCAAAGACAACGGCTTGTGTGTATGTTATTTACTTGCTCAGCCAGAAATAAAACAGATCTATTCAATTTATTTATTAAAAATTTTCTTACAAAAATTGTCAAGCTGTAGTCGCCCCGTATCAATATTCTATTTGCAAGTTAAGCCAACTTCGATACCTTTCTCTTTGTGAGCCTTAAGGTGGGCGTCACTTTCGGTCCCATTTACGGACATAAAAATATGCAACGTGGTAGCCACATTTGCAGCTTTTAGCGTTAAAGGGACCAAGCGACGATCCGGCTTCCCAGTTATCGGATCGATTACGGCAATTTCGCTGCTGATGTGCTCGTTCCTGACCAAGTCATTAGCCAAGTACATTTTATATCCCAGTTTCTAAGAATAGATCGAAAGGAAATATTTAATCATCTTCATAACACAGGTTTGCAGGAACATATATTACTCCACTCTGTCGGTAAAATGAGCCCTACGCAAGTTATCTACGTTTTTACCATAAATTAGCAATCTCCCTATATTCGACGCAAAATCATTACTCTAGGACAAACTGTCCTTTGCGCTGGACATACCGTTTACCAATTTTTAGAAATTGGATGTATAATTACATAACAAATATTTTCTGTTGACCAAAATATCGAAGGGGGCATGCCACATAATTTTTGCATCTTGCCTTATCTGCCATTAGGGCGGGCTCCTTCTCCCACACGAGGACTTCGAGACGCTGTCCAAGATAAAGAAAATATATTTTTTTATTTTTATATACAATTATACCCCTACTTTCGCTTGAAAGCGTGAATAATATTTTATGCCAAAATATTACGTAATTCAAAATTATCATTTAATATTCGCGTAGAAAACCTTATGGAAAAAAATTAAAACTAGTTCATAAAATTTATTCAATTAGAAATTTTTTTAACCATACCTTACCTCAAAATGATAGTCGGAGGAATGGTAGGAAAATACTTCTGGAAAGACAGGATTGTAAGAGTCGGATATATGACTGGTAGTCCGGACACATCCCTTGATATAATTCGGATAAGAAACTTCAGCCCAGACTTGGAGGTAGAGATCTACATAAATTACTAATTAGTTATTAAGATATTAATTTAAATTATATTCTATTTCTGGCCAGGTCCTGTGTCCCGGGAAAAGCGAGACATTCGAAACACAAAAATTTTACCGGTCGTCACTATGTACTTACCAACCATTCATAACGTTAGAAAACAAATTTTATTGAAAACAAATTTAGCTCAAGTTCTGGGATGGCGCTTTGTGAGATTTCATCTCCAAATGTTTCTTCATTTAATGAAATAAACAGGGTTTAAATCTCACTTGAGCCAAAGTTGTTTTAAAAATCAATTTGTTTCCTTACGTCATGAATTTGCGCTGGGCGGTGACGTTCGGTATCATTCTCAGCTTACTATTCCCTGGTGACTGCCCTGCCCAGCAACAGTAAATAATTATCCTTGAAATTAATGACAAAAGTACCTGGTTTACTCCAGCTGTCGGTGTCTGGGGCATCACTTTAGAAAATAACATATACAAATTTGAGACCAGTATTTATGAAAAACCGACTAATTTTACGTAGTCAAGGCCTGACATTTTTGATCTGGCCAATAAATTTATCACGCTCATATTTAATGTCTAATATATAAAATCTTACTGCACTTCAAATCGTAACTTTATCGTGACGCTTTTCGTGTCTCCACAGCTACAGAAAACGAATATCAATATAATAATCGAAAAAAGACGCACCCACATTTTCATTCGATGTCGATAATAAAAAACCCAAAATCTCAACAAGAGAAAATACCAATAATTTACAGTAATAAATAGACTCCTATGTTGAATTGACTTCAAATATCTGAAGCATGATACCACTATGCACTTAAATTTTACATCCTGCCTTTGTTCATAATTAAGTAGACTATGCACAAATTATGTGGTAAAATTTTCAAGGCTGATGTCGATATTAAATTTTGACTACATTGACAAACTAAATTATTAGTGGTGTCAATTATATCGGGCTATAACACAATTCACAACATAAGTATGGTAAAA